CAACAGAAATGGTGAAATGCCATGCTAGGCACTGAGGGAGGGACGATGTGCTAGTTCTCTGGGGATATCAACAGTCTAGTGGCAGAGTTGGGATCTATAAGACTTGAGTCCTGAGTAGTGAATAAAATGTAGTATTTATTGAGTGCTTACTATGTGTCAGGCACTGTTCTAAGGTAGTGACATGAATTGCCTCATTTAATCTGCACAGAACCTTAGGAGGTACGTATTAATATTATCCCCATTTTATAGATGAGGACAATTACATAGAGGATGGGTAGTGTGCCCAAAGTCATGGAGCTGGGAATGAAGAAGCGTGATAAAACACCATGCAGTTGTCGTGGCTCGCCAGGGGGCGGAGCCACGTGACTCCTGAGGCTGCAGCCACAGAATTGTGGAGGGGCCTTGGAGACCCCCTCTTTCAGTTCCTTCGACTTATTGAAGACAAAACTGATCACTAGAGATGAACTTTTTTTTTTAAGATTTCATTTATTTATTTGACAGAGAGAGATCACAAGTAGACAGGCAGAGAGAGGGAGAAGCAGGCTCCCTGCTGAGCAAAGAGACCGATGCGGGGCTCTATCCCAGGACCCCGAGACCACGACCTGTGCCGAAGGCAGAGGCTTTACCCACCGAGCCACCCAGGTGCCCCTAGAAATGAACTTCTTAAAAAAAATTTTTAACAGTTTTATCGAGATACTGTTCGCTTTTTAAAAGTATAAAAATTCAGAAATTTTTTTTGTATAATCACAGAGTTGTGGGACTATCACCACTATCTAGTTCATTCATTCCCTTCTGCACCCTCCCCCCAGAAAAAGACCACCTGCACAGTGACTGCACAGTAGCAGTCACTCCCCATCCCCCCTCCCACCCCTAGTAACCACTGATTTAATTTCTAAAAAGTGACTTGTTTATAACTAAACTCAGGTTTGTCTGGCTTCGAGATTTCCCTGTCCCTAGACAGAGTCGCTCTGCCTTTGGCAGGGTCACACTCCCTTGCGTTCCTTGCATTTTCTCCCTCAGTCCCTGCTTAGAGGAGCCTGTGGAAGTGTCAGAGTTGAAAGTATCAGAGCAGAGGGGCTCACTGACAGTGTATAGTCAGGAGAGGGCAGAGGACCCAGTCTTGAGAAAACATGCACTTTTAGGGCAAAAGGACATAATGAGGGAAAAGAGACTCAGAAGAAGATGATGAAAGAAACCAACAGGGCAGAAGAGAGAATAATTTCTAACTCCATTTTTGATGTCCTTCAGGACCTCACAGTTGGCTGTCTGGTTGGGGAGAGGGACATAACACATACCCACTAAATGTGATAGAGCAGAATCAGGGATGCGGAGTGGGGGCAAGGAAGGAGTGATTAGTGCCTATTCTCTGTCAGCCCATGTGCCGGCGGAGGTCGGAGAAGAGGTTTTGAGGAAGGATCTTGGTAAGTGGCGAGCTCCCGTGTGTGTCACCGTAGTCATGAGAGCCAGCTCTGCGGTTCATCCCAGCTCCGCGTTCAGTGACATCGTGTTGGTACCTTGAATTTGGCCTGGTGGGAGATGTCTAGAAATTGGTAACTTCTACAAACCAGGGCTTCACCCCCCTGCCCATGTGAGAGCTGGATTACTAATCCACCGCCCCTTGGAGCAGCAAAGAGATGAGGATGGGGAGGAGGTGGTGCCATGGGCTTGGAGAGGAAAGAGGCCTGTTTAATGTTGATGCCAGGTGGTGAGAGCAGGAGGGTCCTGGGCCTTCCTAGAAGCTGAGGAGTGGCTTTTTTTGGAGAGAAATCTGAAAGCAAATGGTATTTTCAGAATAGTTAGATTTTAAGAAAGCTGAGGAGGTAGAAGTCCTAAGGAAGTTATAGAACATAGGGTAGTTTATTCAGAATGGAATGGGGGTTCTGAAATCTAGTGGAGGGGCACTGGGCTGGTTCAGTTGGAAGAGCATGTGACCCTTGATCTCCGGGTCATGAGTTCAAGCCCCATGTTGGGTGGAAAGATTACGTAAATAAAAATTTAAAAAACTTAAAAAACAGAGGCGCCTGGGTGGCTCAGTTGGTTAAGCATCTGCCTTTGGCTCAGGTCATGATCTTGGGGTCCTGGGATTGAGCCCCACATTGGGCTTCCTGCTCAGCAGGGAGCCTGCTTCCTCTCCCCCGCCCGCCCCTCCCACTGCTCATTCTCTCTCTCTCTAGTAAATAAATAAAATCTTTAAAAAGAAACTTAGAAAATATATAAAAGATCTAGGGGGAATGGCTAGGGAAGAATAATAGCTAGTCAGGGCCAAACTGGAAGTCGCTGAGCTGATGGAAGGAAATAGATAACACATCGCCAAGTTCTTGATATTGCTTCATTTTGATCCCCTAGTAGCACAGTGAGCTATTATTTCACAAATGGATAAAGAAGGTGGCAAAGTGGTAAGAAATTTGCCCGAGATCACATGAATAGTAAGTGACAGTCCCGGGTGCAAACGCAGATCTGTGGGATTCCAAAGGCTGTGAACTTCACCTTTCCATATGCTAGACATGTTGGTGATGAACTTGTGCTAGATGGAGCTGGAACTTGATAGGTAGGATTTCAGATGTCTCTGTGAGGCAGTTCCTCTCTCCATCTCCTGCCTAGGACATCAAGAAATTTGCCACCTATAACCCTCTAACTAGAAATGATGTGGTAGAGTTGTGAGTTAAGCCTGAGTCTCCATCTCAGTCTCTCTCTACTGTGCCAGTAGTTCTCACACTTTTTGCGTTTGATAAATCACTAAAATTATAGGGGAGAATATTGTTATTTCTTAAAATAAAGGACCGCCGTGAACCAGTAACTCATAACCATGGCCGTCATCTGCCAGAGAACTAGGTAATCCAGTGATGTGTTTGGTATTGCTATTTGGCATTTACACTGAAGTCATTTTATACAAGGCAAAAATTAAAACCTGCTAAATTTGGCATATTCTTTATCTTTAAAAAAAAATTTATATAGAGGGATGTCTGGGTGGCTTAGTTGGTTACGTGTCCAATTCTTGGTTTCGGCTCAGGTCATAATCTCGAGGTTATGGGATCGAGTCCCGCCTTGGAGCTCGATGCTCAGTAGGGAGTCTGCTTCGGATTCTCTCTCCCTCTCCCTCTCATTCAGTCTCTCTCAAAGAAATAAATAAAATCCTCTTTTTAAAAAAGATTTTATTTATTTATTTGAAAGAGAGAGAGAGAGAGCACAAGCAGAGGGAGTGGGAGAGGGAGAAGCAGGCTTCCCACTGAGCAGGGAGCCCGATGTGGGGCTCCATCCCAGGACCCTGGGATCATGACCTGAGCTGAAGGCAGACTCTTAACTGACTGAGCCACCCGGGTGCCCCAATAAATAAAATCTTTAAAACAAATTTTATATAGAAAACAGGTGATTTACAAAAAACTGGTATCCATGAGAAAAAGTTTATACTTCTTTTATCCATACTTCCTTAATTTAGTTCCATTGAGAAAATTCAGTTTCTGTTGTATTAATAACCCCAAAATAAATAATCATCCTAAAAATGTGCTTTTCCCACTTCATGACTGTCTCTATTGTGTAAAAGTGTTGAGAAAGGTAAGTAGGTAACTTCATAATTATGAGGTAGCTGAGGTAGTATTTGGGATTTGCCGTGTAAGTCCATGAATTTAAGAGCAGTACTCGACCGTGTTAAAATGTTGTGAGTGGTTACTCAGTGTAGCCCAAGTCCATATCGGCTGTAAATAATGCAGATTATTTTTGACATCCTGTTTTTTATAAACATGCATTGAAAAATAAACTGAAGAATCACAGTATATCTTTTTTTTTTTTTTTTTTAAAGATTTTATTTATTTATTTGACAGAGAGAGATCACAAGTAGACAGAGAGGCAAGCAGAGAGAGGGAGGGAAGCAGGGTCCCTG